AACCCGGGAAGGATGGAAAGGTCGGTGAACTGTGGGCACGGGATCGAACCATTGGCGGCGCGTCTATCAGGTGGCACCTCTAACCACTGCGCTACTCACGCCCATTCGTTAGTATAGTCGAGTTTGTTTCGCAATTTCTTTGATGCTACGATTTCTAAACACTGCAAAGGCTATAAAAGACTTATAGAATTGAAACCAAGTGAAAGAAGAATCTGTTGGTTGATTGAGAACTGCTTCTTCTTTCTCTCATGTCATCCTTTGTGTACTTTTTCTATTCCTTACATAAATGTGGTGTTATTTCGTGTCCTCATTTATATATATCCGTGATCCTTTACCATTTGGTCTTACGTGGATGTTTCTGGGCGCGTGTGGCGCAGTGGCTAGAGGTGTCCTGTGACGCACACGTGGTCGATAGTTCGACCCCGCGCTAAACAGCGACCAAGCATTCCATCCTTTCGGACTAGGTGAATTAATACCAGACTTATCTGGGAGAATAGCAGAATTTACCTGATAAATACTTGAATTAAATGATACCCCAGAATTGTCCAAATAACATGCAAACAGCTCTACAGTCGCATAGGATTGCATTTGATGGGATGGACAATAACAGTTGGATTAAGGTAATTCTGCATCGCAACTAATTCAGATTCTCCTGTTCTCCCTTAACATTTTATAGGCCTTACTAGCATCAATTTCACACTTAGCTTTGTAGATAGTTCTCATGAAAATCACAAAAATTTTCCTCCCTCTTAGACCTATGAAGCTGATTTTGATAGCGAAAGACGAATCAAAATGAAGGATGTGGGAATTCAAACTGGTGTTCTGGTACGAGTTCAAACCGGTGTTCTATCACGGCTGGCGCAAACGTAGCGAATGTCTGCGATACTGATATGATGGAAATCTATTCAGAACGGGAGAACATATACCACATTCGACCTTAATCCTGGCAGCACTTGAGTTTGGAGATTATTCTCCAGTTCACCTTAGAGGAAGGTCCAGGTTCGTTATTGCCGTTTTCACAACATCACTGAATCACGGGCTAGGTCCTCAAATTTTTCCATCTCACATCAAACTCATAACACTCGTTCATTCGTATATCTGTAATTTTCACTATAGTCTTATAACTTTCTGTGTCAGATCACCTCCAATGAAAAGACCACCGCTTGCGACAGAAGTTCCAAGAACGGTGGGTAACGTTTAATATTATTTCTATTCCTAGAATTTCGTGCAGTTCCATAGCCTGAATTAGCTACAAATAAGTACCAGCTCTCTTCAAGTAGGTCATATCATTTCTTGTACGATATTTGTAGGTGTCGGATCTTCGTGCTCAGTTTGAAGGCGTGAAGACTGGCCTTGCTGATTATCGAGAACGTGCCCATTCATCGTCCAGTAAGAGATAACGAACTCGTTAAATTTCATATCATTCAAAAGCTCTACTTCTTGGGCGATATTGTAGGATGTTTGTAAGCGGTTTAAAAGTAAGTTATGCTTACAAAGATTTCTGTTAGTGATGAGAGTCGTGAACACCGTGGTACTTCGTCTGTCACTTCAGTGAACTTTCAACTGAATCTTTACCTAGTATTTGCAGTAAAATAAGGCTTAAGTTACAGTGTGGGTTGCAGATCTCTCAGAAAAATTCTTGTAAGTTGTTCTCATCTCACCATTCAAACCACCTCGAAGTCATATGCGCTCAACGACAGTGAGTCTTGACACCAAGTCGCATCCAAGAAAAAGCAGGCAAAGCTTTCCATTGTCATTATGATCCGCCTCGTATTTCGGTAACCTCGTGGGTGTATTTCATGGTTGATTTGCCATGACAGTATTGGGTAGTGAATAATAGGTGAAATTTCATGTACTTTATCTTGTAGAAATCTTTAGATAAGCGCCAATTTATGCCACTATTTTCTCTGTATGACAGTGATGGGGTGTTGTTGATGTTGGTTGTTCCTGTAAGTATCACACTTCAAAACAAATTCTCTCAAGTTTTTTAGTTTCAAAGTAAAACAAATTTTTACTTGTAAGAATGACAAGGTGTGAATTGGGCAATTTTCTGAAGAATGCTCTAAATCTATGGACAGACATCTAAAACACTAACATACACAAAAATGAAAAAGTGGAATAACAATTTCTGACGAATGTCATTAGTCTAATTCGTCTCTCTAATCAAAGAACGCTCAAAGTCTACTGCAAACGTTTTAATGTGTTCTGCATAGTATTTTTGGTCTAGATTGATGTAGGAAAAATGCTTGATTAGCGGAATAAATTAAGTTTTGTGTCAGGTTATCTGCTCAAAAAACGCTTACCCGTGTGGTGAATAAATGTAGCAAATGTCGTCTACCTAGAACAGTGAAGTGTACATGTTCTCAGATACTAGCATAGATGTCATTTCATCAGATGTGATGTGACGTTTAACACTGCTTACTCCGACTCGTTATCTCACAACCGTAATTTATTTAAATATTTGACCAGCTCCGATTGCAGCTTAGTGGCTTGTTTGCTCTAATCCGTTAAATGCCTTGTCTACACTCCTTAGTCGAGCGCCTAATGTCTAAGCATGGTTTTCTTTGAACTTTCTAGCTTGCCGGCATGGGCACTTCTTGCTCTTTAACACAGATACTTTGGAGGGAGTTGAGCGAGTTTTCTTTGTTTCAAAGTGTCAGTCCTTCATAGTGACAACAATCATAGAGATTAGATCGGTGAAAGGCAAAATAACAAGGGAAAAAGTTTACTTGTCAAAAAAAAACACCTTATCCACCAACGTGGAAGACATTTCACAGTTGATTGTCAGTTTTAATAAGGAAAGCTGGCTCTTCAGTGCTATTAGATCCGCTGATTCCACGCAACTCACAAATTCGCCCTCGCTCGATCCAAGTTCTATATATCCGGTGAGATTTGCATAGAACGACCTGACAATCCTTTTGATCCATAAAAGCGTGAGTGCCAGTACCATGATTTGAATTCCTCGAGTTCGTCAATATTTGACTCCGAAAAAAAAACTGACCTGATCAAGATTGAACATTATGATAGAAAAAAGCCGAACTTGCCTAAGAAGCCCAGTATAAATAAACCAGAAACCATGTACAGTTGAACCCACAAGCAAAATTCGAAAATATTCGTGGATGTTGGATGAGAGGAAACGAATCGAATGTGAAGAATGCAGGAATACGGCAGTGTATTAGATGTGAAGTAGCGTCTCGTAAAAGGTTTTTTTACTTCTTGAAGAAACTACGCAAAGTTGCGATATAGAGCCTAGCTTTCAAAGTTACCCGTTTCTGAATTAATTGCCGTCTCTTGCAAGATACTCAGAGAATGCTAAAGAATTTCAGTTGATAAGGATATGACTTGTTTTGAGCCGATAGGTCTAGTGCTATATAGGCGCCTATTTCATCCTGTTGGGACTCATGATTATTTTTTACTCGGAGTCCATTCCTATAATGAATTATTAAGCCTTAAGGGATCGACGGAATCGAGGCAGCGTGCTTCTGATGAATCCCAATAGGACGAAATAGTCGCGCATTTAGCACTAGACCTATCGGCTCATAATAGGTCATATCCTCATCAGATTACTTTGTTGTGAGCGGGTGTGTAAAAGACCTGTCGATAGCAGATGTATGATTCGTTATAAATTTTAATTGAATCAGTCGCTAAACTTTACAAAGATAATCAGTCGATATTTATTTATTTGACCGCTTCTTGCGGTGGTACGATCTTGTAATATACCCAATAATGTGGAGTGTTGTGCAAAAACATCTTGCGTCAGCTGGGATTCGTACCCACATCTCTCTTTCCGGGAGCGTACGCTAACCGTGTTTTTGTATTCCACAGCACACTAAATTATTAGGTATATTATAAGATCATACCACCACAAGAAGCGGTCAAGCAGATAAATATCATTGATTATTTATACCTAATGGCTGTCAGCACAAGTGGGTTCAGTGCCCGATAGCAGCAGCGCCGCTAGGTTGGCTGATGACGGATAACGCGTTGTAGTGCAAAAAGAGTGCCCTGCAAAACGAGCGTCGGTGGTGCAACGGTTACCATACGCTCCCGGAAAGAGAGATGTGGGTTCAAATCTCGGCTGACGCAAGATGTTTTTGCACAGCAGTCCACATTATTGGGTATTTTACCTAGATAGCAAAACTTCAGTTCCATCAGAGCATAGAGTTAATCTTTCTGGACCGTCGTCGATAGCAGGCGACGTCGCGCTGGTCTCTGACGCGGTGGCCGCAGGCTGCTCGCCATCCTTGCTCCAGGATGCGACGAGTAGCTGAGCGAGATGCGACGTCGCGCGGCGTGCTGTGTATCGTAGCACTTGTTCCTCGAAGGGTTAAAAAAGTCACATAATGAAACCGTCGCGCATTACATGAGTCCCGCTTGCAGTCTTACTCTGTTCGAGACCACACACCTTTTCCTGTTTAGCTCTATCGATTGTGAGCGTTCTACAAGACGCCACCAACGCACTGTTTTTTCAGCAATAAACAATAATCTTTCCATCTTAGAAAAATTGAAGGCCCAGGCATGAGAAAGCGCTGTGAAAGAGAAATTGTTCTCACGTCTGATAGGTGTGAATGTTACGTATCCCAATACCCACATGCAGGGGTGGGGGAAGCATAGTGTTAGTGATGCTGTTCAAGAAAGCAGGTGATGAGCAAGGCTCTGGTTCGATCTTCTCCCTCAACATTCTCCTACAGTCAGTCAACTGATCGCCAAGGAACGCCTTAGCTCGACTAACACTGAGATATAAGGAGGGTAATCCTGCCAGCATACCACAACATTCATAAGAAGACGATGTCCTCAAGCAGAAGCGACATCGGTGGCGGATGAATTAGAGGAAACGATCGAATGCGAGAAGTCTTGGAGTCCACTCAATCTATTGTAATGGCAGGTCTTTCACAATGAAAAAAAATTAATATACCTAAGGGGACTGAGTGCCAAACAGAAAATCGGCCTCGTACGGGAGTTGAACCGGCGATCCGAAGAATGAGTGTTGAGTAAGCGTTGACCTCGCTGGTGTAGTGGTAGCACAAGTCACCGGTATGGATAAAACGCGGGTTCAACTCCCGGCTGAGGTCGAATTTTTCCCTACCACTCAATTCTTTAGGTATAATCTGATAAGGATATGACTTATTTTGAGCCATAGGTCTAGTGCTATATAGGCGCCTATTTCGTCCTATTGGGACTCATCAGTAGCACCCTCCCTCGGTTCCGTCGATCCTTGAGGTTAAATAATCCCTTAAAGGAAGCGGCGCCGAGTAAAAACTAATCACCCAAAGTCGGATGATGGTCTTACCTGACTTTGTGGTGACCGGCAGTCGAGCTTACGGCTTTTAAAATGAACTATACTTCTGCTATCGACTGCTTTTTTACAGACCCGCTCAAAATGATTTAATCTGATAAGGATATGACTTATTTTGAGCCATAGGTCTAGTGCTATATAGGCGCCTATTTAGGTATATTATATATTATATATTATATTATATTATATTATTTTTTTCTTTAGGTATATTTGAAACATTACGAAAAATGCAAAAAACAGTGAAACATATTAAATTAATAGTATGTGCAACTATGGTCCAGGAAACAAACATTGCTATCAGTCTTTGGGAAGGCTTTACACCTTGTACAAGATTCAGATTGGTGTTTTATATATCCACACATTCCATACAATAAATGCGACTAATCATAACGATCAAAGTAAAATGATAACTTTAGGTTAGTTCAATTATTGGTCGTTGAGCTTTTCGAGAAGAGGATTGTGGCGATTTATCAAGTGTGCAAAAAGCCGTTTCGCTTCAATTTTCTCATATTTCATTTGTTTTTAGATGTTCTACCTACTCTCTAAATTCTTCTATGTAAATTTCTGTGTTACTACAACGCATCCAACTCTTATGTATGATAAGAAAAAAATACTCACAAAAAATCACATTGATTTTAGCCTTTGCTAAGGCTTTTGAGAGAGATTAGAAGATTTTTGGCACATTTCAATGCTTGTCGTACCTGCTCAATCCAGACAGTACTCGTGAATTACTATATTCATTCGAGATGAGGCGAAATCTAATCAATAGTTAAAATTCATCTAGACACATTGAAACTCCGACAGCAGGCGAATCATGCTTCTCTTACTATTTTCATTGGTCATTGAAAGTACAACGTTTGATACTTTAAGCTACCCGTCGAGAAGAGTGTGAGTTTTGTCAAGGAAGAGATAAACGTATGTGGACAAGTCGAGAAGAAGATATAGAAAATGACGACTCCCAAAAAGATGCATTGGGCTGTAACTGTGACGTGCACCTTTTGAGATATCGAGAGTCTTTGTGTGATGGAAGCAATTCGCCCACCACCAAACCAATGGACGTGATACTTTGGCTAATTCGTTCTAAAAACATATCTGTGTCTATGCAATCCATGCGACAACTACAATCAACATAGAGACTCCGAAGTGAAGAGGGGATAATGACCGTTCAAAGAATCAAAATCTTCTTCAGTCCCTGCCTTGAAATGGAAAACGTAGACATTTGAGGGCGAGGATATTCTTGTATAAGACAATTTAGACAAGATCAATCCGCGAATTAGACTTGTAAAAACGACTCGCATAGTAGTCTGTTACTTTGGGAGAGGTACCTATAGTGACGAATCCTTGGTGATGCTCAAAACCAGAGTTGCCTGCTGTCAAAATCTCACGTAGGAGACGCATTATGGTATCGAGGATCTACTGTGGTAATTTACATAAGTGCAAGCGCATGAGTTCAAGGTCCAATCTATTCGAGCGTGGCTCAGTCGGACATAGTGCGAGTGTGCGTATCCTCAAATAGTAGTGTCTTTAAAGACTGCGTTCAACATTCAGAGAAACAAAGACGTTATTTTGGTTTTTGCAAAAAATTAACAAAATTTCACAACTCTTCTCACCAAGCGTTGGAATTATAACTGGAATCTATGTAGGAGAATTTTTTGCTGACTTAATTGTGGTAATATCCTTTTAGATTATATATCGTCTATGTTGTGCCGATTTTAAAGAGTATGTAAAAAGCGTAAAGCTTCAAAATAGTGCCAGTGAGCAGGAACTTATGTTTAGTCTGTCTCAATGAATCAATAATCACAGCGCGGATTACAAAATTATTGGTAAATGCCTAAACAAAATCATTAGATATTAATGCAAATAATGTTTGAAAGTGTCAATTGTGAGGAAAAACTGATAAGAGAAGTGCAAATGTTTCTAAACAGAACGTCTACACTGTTAGGGAAAGTTGTGAGATTAAGAGTCAAAGATGCATAGTGTTCCTAAGGATGCCGCTCAATAAAATGGTAACTGCTCAGTTTGTGTGCCTCTGGTCGTTTTGTTAGGCTTAGGAGTAATTCCCTTAACACCCGCTGAAAATCTAAAGTTCATACATAAAATCAGTTGTAACAACAATAATTATTCTTCCAAATAAAGATAACCTCATCGACGATCTTCAACCAACAATCTGCAAGGTTTCGGATCTGCTCAAAATCGCCGTTCCTTGGGATTTAAAATCAAAACTCCTGAGATGTCTCTTCAACTTATTGATTGTCTCGAATCGACGTCCAAGCAGGAAACGTTCTTCGAGCGAAAAAGACCATAATTGGACGGCGCAGCATCTGGACTGTGTAAGGCCTCATCTCGCTCCAGTCCATCAAACTTTTACTTAGTCTTCTTATCGAGGTGAGGTTTGGCATTATCTGGCTATCTCAACCTAGTACATATCACAAACGTGTCTTTTGCTGGCTACGTAGGAACTTATATTCTACGACGGAATTGTACATTGTGGATCGTTTTTTCGGAAACGTTTATATATGTATTGTTGTGAGAATTTGTTTCAAATATGCTGCTTAAGAATATGAATTTTTGCAGAGTTTATAAATCTTTTTATCGTTTAGCAATCAAGTAACATAAGAATAAGATTAGTCGCATATGTTTACTAAGTACCAGATTTGTATTAAGGCTCACATCCATCTCAGCAAGCCTCAGTAATCCGAGTCACTGCGCCACAATTGGTACATCAAAAATCATACATTTGGTAGCCAACAAGACATGGTACCGCTCCAATGATTCATATCGAATGGTCCATCTGAGGCTTCAATATTCACTTCAGTGTAATTCGCGTGGTCTTTCTTCACGGCTTCCTGATTTTCACGTTTAGAACCTTTAAAAGATCAATATCAAAAGCAAACTGTCAACGTGTGCTTTAACGTAGTAATTCAAATGTGACTGTTTGAGTTCACCTCATAACATTGATAAGGAAAAGCCAAAGACTGCTTTTCTCTACACAGACACAACTGATATGCAATTGAAAGTTAGTCTATTCACTTGTCCACAAGTTCTCGCCTCTAACGATAAAAACGTACGGTTACTTTTTGTCTAAGTTAATAAAGATTTTTTTAACCATACGCAAAGGAGAGGTTTGCCCGTTTCTGTTAGAATCATTCAGACATCCGTAACTGAGTATTCTCCTTATGTCGCACGTCCTTGAAAGTTTTTCCACGGAAGATTGATACTGCTTTCAGTTTCTGATGGTTGATCGAGTTTGAAATTACATTCTACTTGATACGTGGTACTAACTTCCAAAATTCTTTGAAGAATTCGAGGAAATGAGAAATCAACTCAAATTTGCTTCCTACGGACTTCACTATAAAAGCTTTCGAGAGTCAGAAAGTTATCGGATCTAAGATGGAAATTTTAGATATGGACATTGGAAACCGACACTTTCTACCACTTCCATAATTCCCCAAGACTTCCTTTATATTATAAATTTACACGATACAGAGCAAATTTATCTCCGGTCCATACTTTGCGAGATGTGCTGTACCAAAGTAGCCAGCATTTTTGGAATATTTAGGGGTAATAAAGTAACGTTGCAATTCAAGCGCTCTTTTAGTTGTACCTCATGAATAACTATTATTATTGATGTGTTGTGTTCCTTAATTAAGTGAAATATTTGCGCTTATAACTTCCGAAAAATAATAAAATCATTTTTCGAAGGTTGTCCATTGACAAGCAGGTGCGGCTTGAATTGATCGCTCTGTCAACATCATCTACACGGAGCGAATGTTTGTTGAGTAACGATGTTCCCTTTATACGGTCAGTGCTTCTTCAGTGTAAACTTGTTGGTCAATCCCCGATCGAAAATCACACACACCCACGCAGTTCAAGCGCCTCGAAAGAACGACCTTTTCTGAAATCTTCATTTCAATCGAATGACATTCCATATTACGTTTCTTCGAGTTTTTTCTTGAAGCTCATTTCACCCAACCTACATCGATTAACCCCATTTCGCTCAATGAACAATTTTTTCGACGCAGATCTTTCCATACGCAATCTCTACCAAACAAAAATCACTTTTTACTCACTCTCATTCATATTTAGCCTATTTTATTATTTACTTGGTAGACATTCAGTCAGTGCTTATGAAATATTCATGTGTGGCAACGACGGATAATAATTTCGTCTGTTTATTCATATTATTAGATGTACAAATATGACACCGCCGTTTTTTATACTGTAATAATAGCAAAGTCATTGAAATTGCTGATTTTTGTATCGTTAGATTGCGCATTTTCTTGCACATATTATGGTGCACAACTTGCCTAAATTTGCTATAACTTGAGATTGCCTGTGGGTACAAATTCGTTTGCTATTCATGCACGAATGGCGCGTAAGAAAAATGCTAGTGAAACGGCGCGTAGGATTAGTGGAGCTTGAAGCGAGCTTCATCTTGGAGCAAATACAGTTAAGATTTATGCTGAAACCTTCGCAAGAAAATGCTCAATTCAACGGTACCAAGGTCTTGCAATTTCATTTGAAAAATCATATCAAAAACCGAAACTCCACGAACTTTGCATTTTGCTGTATGATGAAAATCAACTTCATGTTGCAAAACCGATTGGAAAGGTCATGAAAGAAATGAGGTGGGAGGTTTTAGAAGATTTCACCTTACCCGTCTCAATCTTCCGACACTTCACCGCTAGATTACCAGCTGAATTAACTGAATTAAAACTACAAATAAGCAAATTCAAAAAAATGATGTCTTTCGGGTACAAAAGTCGTCATCTTTGAA